TGGCTGGCGCGGCAGAAGTCACCCCTATGCGTCTCGTCACACTTGGCTCGGATCGCAGCTGAGTGAGAGTGCCATAACGGCCGCATTAAGAAGCAGAAGAAGAAGCCATCGTATTCTTATCCTCAATCCGCCATTTAGCCACTCCATAAAACACACACAGAGCTGATAGCGCAGTCAGAGTTGCCAGCAAAGTTATGAAACCTAAGGGATCAAAGGCGTCAGATTCTAGTCCTAATTAGGAACCAACAGTTTGTCAGTAAATACTCACATTTTTAGGGCAACCTAAAATTTTGGAAAAGTGAAACATTGCTCTAACGCCCTTATCCAGCCTGATTGCTGAGGCAGTATTACAACGACTAGAGGCACTGGCTATCGACCACGAATATGGATCCGGTATTTTGATGACACGTTTGTCATTATCAGTCGAGACAAGATTGGTGATTACACAGAGAAACTGAACTCCTCTTTTAGTTGACCAACTTGTGGGAAAAAAGTCGCGGCGTCAGCGGGAGCCAAACCCGCAGAGCAGGGAGGCTTTTACGCAGCCAATCTGAACTCCATCTTCCCCGACATCCAGTTCACGAAGGAGGAAGAAAAAGACTGCCAGTTGCCGTTCCTCGACGTGCTGGTGTGCAGAGAAGTCGGTGGGGAACTCAAAACGACGGTTTACAGAAAGACTAAGAATACTTCGTGTATTCCGAGTTACCTCAGCCACCATCCCGTCACGCACAAACGCAGCTGCATGCGAACGCTCTATCGCCGCGTAGAAACCCACTGCAGCGAACCAGCCGACAAAAAGGCCGAAGTCAAGTATCTGCGGAAACTCTTCACAATGAATGGGTATCCTGGCAGCTTCTTCGAAAAATGCAGGCGAGGAGCAAAAAGAAGAAAGCCAACGAGGCAGCTAGAACCGACACGCTGGCGAGCAATACCATCTATTGCTGGCGTATTCAAAGAATTCGCTCGACTGATCAGCGAATTTGGGATTGGAATCGCTCACCGACCGGGAGCGACAATTCGCAGGCAACTCATGCAGCCTAAAGACCCAATCCCCATCAACCAGATATCCGGTGTCACTTACCGAATCGACTGTCTTTGCGGTCACACCAATTATCTTGACGAAACCGGCAAACGGGTTGCCACGAGACTTCACGAGCACTAATCTGCCGTGCAAAGGAAGAACAAGCTATCCTTCGTTGCCCTCCACATATCATCGTCAGGACACA